GGGGGGGTTTAAGACGAAGATGATTCTGGAATATTAAACTTCTTTTTCAAGTAAAGTATCGTTTACGACAGATCAAATAAAGAAAAATTATGGTTTTAACGTCAGCGAATCACTATTTATGACATTTACAATCCGACGTTTAAACGACAAGAATACAATATTACTTTACGACATAGAAAATCGTTTTTTGTGATAAACGCGTAATTTGGTCAATATATCATCGTTTAAATGATGTGACATTAAACATAGTTTTAACGACAGAACAGCGTTTCCTCAACTAACTGGGTAGCTCAATTATTTCAAGTTCATTAAAACAACAAATCGGAACAAAATTTATCCACTGTTATTTACATTGTCCTTTTTTGTTCCAAATACCGCTCGCGATTTTTTTCGTCTATTAGACACATAAAATGCCCATTGTACACCGGTGATTCGAATCAGTATAATCAGAATTCAGCTCCGTAAAACGTATGCCCCGTTTCATAAAATATTAACCAGAAAAAGAATAATGCTAAGAAAGAAATAAAAATGTGTAGTCAAACCCATAAAGCGAAATTATGGTGGGAAGAAAAGTTGTTTTTTTACTCAATGACAAATTATCCATTTGAGAAGAGAGCAGAGAATCTTGGAGAGAACAAGCTGCTTTTAGATACCATCGTAGTGTTGTAATATTTGCGTAGCAGTAGCTGAAAGAACAATAAAACACAATCAATATTCGTAATTCTCACCGTCATGCATATTTTTTCTGTTTCTATTCATTCTATCAAAAAAGTGGTAGCACAAAACAGATTTTTTTATGTCAAACATTAACTGACATTCATCCTGTCATCTCGTAATCGGATAAGACGTCATTATTTAAAAGCTAAAGTTTTCAACATAGAGTCACTTCATTTTCAGATATGGATCGATTAATCAAATGTAATCGAATTGTTAATAAAGTATGTAATCTACAGTTTCTTTTTTATTCTGATGTTTTTCTTTGTTTTGACATACCGATTTCAAGGCACCTCCTTGGAGTGCTGCCATACATTCAATCATAAACAATCCCGATTTGGAATCAAACACAAACACGCAATCGAATAAACACTACGGAATACTGCCTCAATTGAAGAGTCCTGTTCGTTACTTTGTTATATAATTCCTGGCAATCATATCAATCCTTGCTTTATTCTAGTATTTACGATGTGACATCAAAATAGATCGTAGCCAACTCTGTTTGATGCTGTTTACCGTATGGGATATACCAGTACCTGGTCTTATCATACGAATGATAAGCGATCCAGATTCGACGCCTAATATTAAAATAGAAAAGGAACTCTTACAAGGTATTTCCGATGCTGCTACTGCATCAGGTAGATATGTGCACGAACATCAAATATAGAAAATAAAGTCGTCTAATCCTAGGCGCATGGATTATTACAAGTGGTTATAAGGAAGAGAGTATTGTAGAACTAGTTGGTGAAGTAGTTTTCAAAAGTCGGATAAAAAATCCTGATATAAATTTCAGTGCAATCGCTGTTGGAAAATGGGGTAATATTCAAGATTGTCAACAACTTGAAAGGTTTGATTTGCCGATTGCTTGATCTATTATCCAACAACAATTACACCCGGCTGTTGGATACTTTGATTTTCATGCTTGATTTCAATCTTGTACATTTGTGTCTCATTATTCTTCTTTTAGCTTCTATAACAACGAGTCTGTAAATCATGAAGAGCGCAGAAAATATAAGCTGGAATTGAATCATACTCACTACATTTTTTTTGACGATGGTACACGAAATTCATTAGATAAAGGCGAATTCGCTGCAACTCTTGCTCGAGAAATATCACAAGGAGCAAGACGAAGGAGTTAGTTTTTTTGCTGCGCATATGATTTATTAGCTTTCTTACCATATATGTGCTTGTTACATTTAGTACCACTAATCACTATTCTAGTCGGTGGTACTCTTCATGCACTTGATGAAATACTTAATGATTTAAAGCATGGAGTTCCGATCGTTGTTGTCGAAGTAAGTCATCAGATTTTACACATCAGATAAACAGTAAATTTTTGCCAAATTACATAGGGAAGTGGATTATTGGCTGACGTATTATCCAAGTACCTTAAGTTGACTGAAAGTGAGTGAAGTTATTTTTTAGCGCAAGGTATAATCATTAAGTGTCCATTACAAATCTGTTTTTATCTATAATTATACAATGTAGCTATTAAGTTTTGGAAGTAAATACAACAGCATTGAGCCCATACAAGAAAACGTATTTGCTACTAAAAGACTTCCTCAAAATATTGACGAGAAGAGACTTAAAAAACATCGCTGAACATATCGACAGTTTCTTCGATAAACTAATGTTGTAGACTCAAGTTTGAATTGAAACATGCACATCAAATTCCACTACATTTCGCATGCACTTGGCGGTGGCTACCATGAAAATAATTTCCTCGACTGTAGAGAGGGTCATATGAAATAAAATGAGGTTGTGTGTGTGTGTTTGTGTCAGGGTCAAAGGTCAAAAAACACCAGTGGTGAAGTTCATTTAGGCGTGACTTCTAAAGCTTCATGAAAGGTTATCGAGGTCAGGAAATCCGAACCTTAAGTCTGGTTTTACATCCGGTCATCCCATTGGCTAAGAAGCCGACCAATCAGAAATGAGTCTCTTATTTTAAGCTTGTTGGGCCTTTTGATGAAACTTTACTATAGGTTATCGAGGATCAGGATTCCGAATCTGAGGTCAGATTTTTTTCCTACCTTCCTCATTGGCTAGAAGAGCGACCAATTAAAAATGGGCTTATTTTATTTTACGCTTTTTTTGCAACTTTTGATGAAACTTTACTATAGGTTATTGATGGCTAGGATTCCGAATCTGAGGCCGGATTTTACATGTTAAAAAGACTGACGAAAGCAAATCGGAAATGGGGAGTCCGAATTTGAAGTCGGTTTTTTTGAAAATTTCGAAGCTGATTTTTTTCGGTCAGGGGTTGCGCTTCTCGAAAAAGTAACGAGTTTTTCATGAGGCTTAACCAAGGGCACCTGGGATCGGGAAAGTTGAATTTGAAGTCAATTGTTCAAAGTTTTGAGTTTGACTTTTTTGGTCAAAGAAAGAGTTTTTCGAGAAAATAACGAAGTTTTAGAAAACTTGGCGAGCCTAAATCGGCATCAGCCCAGGACGAACAATCCGACAGTGGAATCATATCGGAAAAATTATCGGATCTTATCGGATCCGATGGGGATTCGTCGGAAGTTGTCGAAATCCTTGGTATTGGATTCCGACAGGAAGTTGTCGGATGTCGGAAAGTGTCGGAAGTGGCCAGGATCCTGTCGGAACCCTGAAAATCCGACACTTTCCAACATTCGAAAACTTTCGACGAATTTCCATCGGATCTGATGAGGTGAGTTCGACCTGGGAGGGTATCCAAAACTTTACTATATTGCTGGAAGTTTGCTGCTATAATTTTACAATCCGGATAAGGTTTTTTAAGGAAACAATGAGTTTTCGGTGTGTTGAACATTGAGTGGTATGAAATAAAATTTGTTTGTGATATCGTAGTGATTCGAAGAGTAACGTATTGAGCTGTGTTAGCCAGATTACCAGGTCGACTATCTCACTAGCGTAAACTATATCTGAGATTTTTCCATAGTGTGGGTATGAGGTGTGGTTGTGAGGTAGAAGAAGATCAACCCGCTCAGGCACATACTTACATCGACACCAACACCACAAAGTATTTCTAATATTCAAATTCAGGTTTAGGTCAATGCGACATGATTGGCATCTGAGCCTGCTCGCATTGCGTTTTTTCTGGCTTACTATTGCATTATTAGCATTTGCTTTTCAGCAGCCGATCTGACTCATAGAATTTCTTGCAACTATGACTGGAAGAAGGTAATATAAACAAATATCTATATACACTCTTGAGCAGAAGTCTTCCTCCCCCCTCCCCGCCCCCTCTTCACCTCTTTTTTCAGCGAGGCTTTATCTACTATTATAAGGACATGATGTTGTTCGGGCCGAATAGGGGTTATTCGGGGTCTTCTTGTATATGGCCCGAACAACATCATGTTTTGTCCTCATAATAGTAGAGAAAGCCTTGCTGAAAAAAGAGGTGAGAGGAAAGACTTTTACTTAGGGATGTATATAATGTTCTGTGTGTGTGTATTTCTCTGTGTCAGGTCAAAGGTCAAAGGTCAAGAATTAATGGTCAAACAAGACTATAAGGGGAAGGCGCCAACGGCTATTATATGGAGGTACTCATAGTTCCTCAAGGGCTGTTATGTAGAGGTACCCATAGGTCCTCATGAGCTATTACATGGAAGTATCATAGGTCCTCATAGGGTATCCTATGGAGGTACCCATAGGTCCTTAAGGACTACTATATGGGGTACCATAGGTCCTCAAGAGCTGTCCTATAAGGTGCCCATAGATCCTGAAGGGTGTAAGAGAATAAAGCGATAAGGCTACAAGAGGTACAAGCTATATAAGGCTATAAGGACATAAGGCTACATGGACTATAAGAATATGTGTGATATAAGAGTATGATGCCGTAAGGCTTTGATTTATACACATAATATCGCGTATCTGTATGTCCGTTATCTGATGAAAAGTTAAATGTCTGAAGTCATATGTTAAAGGCGAAACCAGCCGTGCAGTATACAGGGGTTCTCGCTAGTATAAAAATAATGTCACATTTTTTCTACGATTGCAAGAGAATGACTAGCTTTTGCTCAGATGCGTTCAAGTAATGGAGCGAATAGTCGTGAGTGGCGCCCCGAAGGGGCGTCGATGAACGATCTGTCGCTCCTATTTCAGGTTCACTGTTGATTCGCCTTAGAGATCTATACAAATACTAGGTTTTTTAGAGAAAACTACACTAAGGTTCTCTTAACGAGGAATTTAAGTGAATCTCTGATTGGCTAGCCAGGCAATGAAATTAAAGACATAAGGAATAGTTTACAACAAAGTTTCGGCTTTGAAGTTTCTCATGGAGAATTCTCGTGTTATAACTCGAACGACTTTTGGAACTGTTATAGTGTGATCAATGATATATGATATTTTCCTGTTTCGTTCTTCTGCTCTTCTATCGCACATAGATGACATGTACGATACACATATGTCTTTTCTTGTTTTCTTCTCTTCTCTTCTCTTCTCTTAATATAGTATAGATGTTTTCTATCTCATCATATATTCTTCCAAGTGTTCTTAGGTTTTTTCCTAGTTCGTTCATCTATATATAATTGTCGTGTTGAGAAATAAAAGAGTGTGTGACTATTATTATCGATCAGTTGAATCAAAACGACCCGCTAACAGGAACTAAGTGAAATCTAGAATCTAATAGGGTGTAAATGAAAGAGAATGATCTTGTACCGGAATAGAATTCAGTATAGTAGCGATTAGCCGTGAATGGCGCCGGCGAGTGGCTAGCTGCAGCTCTGTGAAACTCGCCAAAGGAATGCTCCTGATTGTTGTAATCCATCAGAAAAATGTCTACAGTGAAGATCTGGTAGGTTCAATAGAAACCACAACTGGCAAAAAAGATTAAGATATGTTTTCGAATGAAATGTGAGAACAGTTGTGCTGCACGTGCACAATATTTGAATAGAACATTCGACGAAAAATATCATGCAAAGAATTCAGTTCTGTCCATTCAAAGTAGATTTCAATGAAACAAAATAAGCTTTTCTGCCATTATGTGCCCATGTCCGAGTGCATTTACTTGTCTAAATTTATTCGAGTACTTTGAAATTACCTGTTTAATCCGATGACTACTGTAAATGCACATAGACATGGACGGATAATGACAGAAAAGCTTATTTTATTTCATTGAAATCTACTTTGAATGGACAGAACTGAATTCTTTACATGATATTATTTGTCGAATGTTCTATTGAAATATTGTGCACGTGCAGAACAACTGTTATCACATTTCATTCGACAACATTTCTTAGTCTTTTTTGCCAGTTGTGGTTTCTATTGAACCTACCAGATCTTCACTGTAGACATTGTTCTGATGGATTACAACAATCAGTGGTATTCCTTTACGGAATTTCATAGAGCTGCAGCTAGTCACTTGCTGTCGCCCCTTTGAGATGCCATTCGCGGCTAGTCGCTACTATGCTGAATTCTATTCCTGCACAAGACCATTCTCTTTCATTTACACCGTTTCAGATTCTCGGTTTCGCTTAGTTCCTGTTAGCGGATAGTTTCCATTCAACTGATCGATAATAATAATCACACACTCTTTTATTTCTTATCACGACAATTATATATAGATGAACGAACAAGGAAAATACCTAAGAACACTTGGAAGAATACATGATGAGATGGAAAACATCTATACTATATTAAGAGAAGAGAAGAAAAGAAAACAAGAAAAGATATATATGTGTATCGTACATGTCATCTATGTGCGATAGGAGAACAGAAGAAAGAAAAACAAAAATACCAAATATCACTGATCACACTATAACAGTTCCAGAAGTCGTTCGAGGTATAACACGAGAATTCTCCTTGAGAAACTTCGAAATCGAAACTTTGTTATAAACTATTCCTTATGTCTTTAATTTCATTGTCTAGCTAGGCAATCAGAGGTTCA